GAAGGTATCCAAAGGCTTAGGGAGATTGGCATATTAGAGTGTATTTATCAGGCTGGACCCACAGGCCTACCCATGGGGTGCCCAGAGGATACACCTTTTACCACAACAGTGAAGAACAAATTTGTGAAGGGAGCCCCAGCGTCCTTGAAGACTGCTGTGATTGCTATTTTGTGTAAACCAGGTTTGACCATGGGAACTGCCCTAACTGAATTAAGACATCTAACTACAGTGGGGCTGATTGGACCCCATGGTGGTAGGGGCAAAGTGGCTGTACTTAATCACCAAAGACAAAGTAGGCATGGTTACCGTAATGGACAGAAGAATCAAAGCAGTAATCAGAATAATCTGACTAGTATGGACTTGTGGCATTGGCTACTTAGTCATGGGGTCCCTGATAGTGAAGTAGATGAGAAATTTACTAAATATTTACTTGACCTGTACAAGTGGAAGCATTCTAGGTCAAGTGGACAGTAGAATAGGGAGTCACAGCACCTCTGTCAGTTACCAGACTTGAGCCAGTTGGCAGACCCACAACACCTTGAATGAAGGGGAAGTTGAGAAACCTTGAAGAACGACCTCTACTACATTGCCAAAAATTTATCCCGGTAATCTTCCTCCCAGCCTTCCCCAAAGAGATCTGTGGTCTTTTATGAGAGTGACTGTACACTGGGGAAAAGGAAATAATCAGACTTTGGGGATTACTAGACACTGGCTCTGAACTGACACTAATGCCAGGAGACCCAAAACGTCACTGTGGCCCACCAGTCAGAGTTGGACCTCCCTGAAAGATCATGGCGAAGAGCAATCCTCCCAGTGGGCAGAACATTGAGCAGTGCACCTGCTTATTCATTTTGCTTGGAAGGATGGATGGCCAGATGTGCAATTGTATACTGATTCATGGGCTGTGGCCAGTGGTTTGACTGGATGGTCAGGGACTTAGAAGGAACATGATTGGAAAATTGGTGACAAAGAAGTATGAGGAAGAGGCATGTGCATAGACCTCTCTGAATGGGCCAAAGAAGTGAAGATATTTGTGTCTCATGTGAATGCTCTCCAAAGGGTGACCTTGGCAGAGGAGGATTTTAACAATCAAGTGGATAGGATGATGCATTCTGTGGAAACCAGCCATCCTCTTCCCCCAGCCACTCCCATCATTGCCCAGTGGGCTCATGAACAAAGCAGCTATGGTGGCAAGGATGAAGATAGTGCATGGACTCAGCAACATAGACTTCTACTCAGCAACGCCGACTTTGCTACAGCCACTGCTGAGTGTTCAGTCTGCCAGCAGCAGAGGCCAACCCTGCATCCCTGATACATTGGACTACTTTCATAATGGAAAGGGCAGCGTTTTGTTCGTACTGGGACAGACACTTACTCTGGATAAGGATTTGCCTTCCCTGCATGCAATGCTTCTGCCAAAACTACCGTCCTTGGACTTACAGAATGCCTTATCCACCGTCATGGTATCCCACACAGCATTGCCTCGGATCAAGGAACTCACTTCACAGCAATTAAAGTGTGGCAGTGGACGTATGCTCATGGAATTTATGGTCTTAACATGTTCTCCATCATCCTGAAGCAGATTGACAGAACGATGGAATGGCCTTCTAAAGACACAATTACGGTGCCAGCTAGGTGGCAGTGCTTTGCAGGGTTGTGGCAGCATTCTCCAGGAGGCTGTATGTGCTCTAAACCCAGCGTCCAGTATATGGTGCTGTTTCTCCCATAGCCAGGATTCTTGGATCCAGGAATCAAGAGGTGGAAGTGGGAGTGACACCACTCACTATTACCCCTAGTGACCCACTTGCAAGGTTTTTGCTTCTGGTCCCTGCAACACTATAGTCTGTGGGTTGAGAGGTGTTAGTTCCAAAGGGAGGAATGCTCCCACCTGGAGACACATCACTGAGTCCACTGAACTGGAAGTTAAGAATGCCACCCTGCCACTTTGGGCTCCTCATGCCTCTGGATCAAGAGGGAAAGGAAGGGAGTTACCATATTGGCTGGTGTGATTGATCCTGATACCAAGGGGAAATCACATTGATATTACATAATGAAGGCAAAGAAGAGTATTTCTGGAATATAGGTGGTTCTTCAGGCCGTCGCTTAGTACTACCATCCCCTCCCCTGTGATAAAAGTCAGTGGAAAACTATGTTTTAGGCCATCTTGAAGAGATTGTTGGCTGTCATTGTAGCAGTCAGATAGAGTGCTTGTAAGTAACTATTCTCAGATAATATCATAATCATATTAGAAACTGTCCTTTCTAGTCAACATGTAATAGGACACCATATACATTTGGAAGAGAAAGATTTTCTGTTTGTGATAAGAAGAGTTTTGGTGAATTACAAACAACAGAGGAAAAAGTTGATTTGAAAAGGCACAGATTCCAATTCCTTTGACTTGGCAGTTATCTTATCCTGACAGCAATTTATGTGAAGTCACTGTGCACAGAGAGTAAGTGTAGTCGGCTTTAATTAAAAGCGCAAGCTTTGGTGTTTTTTGTTTGTTTCTGTTTGTTTGTTTTTGATTTCTTTTATTGTTTTTCATGTCTTTGTCTTATCTTTCTCTTTTTTTTCTCTTCTTCATTGCCGAGTTCTCCGTTCTCCTACCCCTCTCTGCCTCCTCTTCACCACCCTTTAACATTTAAAATGTTTTAGGCTTGGCTAATCCCTCTGGACAGAAACTTAGCTGAGCAGGATATTGATTACCAAATATGGCATTGCTGCTAAAGATGTCAGAGGAATGTGGCTTGTGTTCTAAGCCTCTGGCCTCTGAATAAGCTGCCAAACAAATTAGGTCATTTAAAGGATGCTGGAACTTTGATTTGAAACACTATGGTGGTGTTATTTTAGCTCTAAGGGAGGTGGAGCATGGGAAGGGGGGCTGGAGGTGGGGGATCCAGCATGTTTTAGGATGTGAGCCACCAGCCCAGGTTGTGTAAGAGGCAGGCACTGTGTGGGGAGCCTTGGATGACTCTGGAACACCACTGGGAGACCTGAGACAGAGAATTCCTTTACCAGAGGCCTGAGGCTCCAGAGGACTCCAGACAGGTCCCAGGATGCTCTGCTCATGCCAACTCCAGTGGCCTGGGCTGCTGTGCTCAAGGAGATGTGGGCTCTGGGTATAGGAGCTTCACACAGGAAGGCTGGTTGAGTTGAATGCCAGGCAAGACAACCTGAAATTAATGGAGCCTTGGGTTTTGATCTGACTACAGAAGTCCTTACACCACATACCTTGAAGTGACAGCCAGGGACTATGCGTGTCTCAGCAGACCACAGTTTTTCAGGTCCATATTTGGAAATACTTATTCTCTTGTGATACTAGCTTTGATAGGGTGAAATGCTCTTAAGTGGAAGGGGATGGAAGCAAATGCAAAAAAAAAAAAAAAATGCAGCTTTGTTCTTTTTCCTTATATACGTTTTTGGCAAGGTAATACTGAGCTTTCCTGAACTAACAATAAAAAACAGACCAGGAAAAGATAAGTTTTGTTTGTTTGCTTGTTTTTTTAGGTTTCGCAAAATTGACACACCTCTTCAGTGGATTCCTTTTTCTTCTTTTATCTTGCCCCGTTTGTCACCTTCAGTTGGTTTCTTCCCCTAAAGAATGAAAAAACCAGGCTCATGAAATAATTCTGTCCACTCTGGGATGTCTGTGGGTCAGGGCTCTGTGCCTTTTCTTGTATCTCCGCCAGGACCTCGCTTCCCTTCCCCTCGCCTGCCCCCACTTCCGCTCACTGACATTGCCTCCAGTCACAGGCACTTCCTCATGTCTTTGGAGCCCAGCCTGTGACGTTTACAGCCCTTCATCCTGGTCTAGAGAATTAGGAATTCTTACTCATTTCTTATGGAAATTGCAGTTGTTTTCCTTCAAGCTAATAAAGGAGAAGAAAAGGGGGCTCTGGGGCCCACAGGCTCAGACTTGTACATTCGAACACTGAATGGAGCACTCATGTTCTGAGCATCCTCATTTTCAGGACCGCGTCACATTCCAGAACACACCATACGGACAAGCACAGGACCTCAGTCTTATTTTGGATGTACTTTCCTGCACTATTCTGGGATGTGTGTGTGTTTTTGACACTATTGTTGGGAGCCAGAATCCATGGCACTGAACCTAGATAGCATGAGGTCCTTTGTTATGCTCGGTAATGAAGGCATTCTTTAATGGGAGCGTTCCTAGGTAAGCTCGTCTTACCCTGAAGCTTGTGTTTTATCGTGTTTGTCATTTTTTAAAATATGTTTTCAGTAAACTGTGATAATAGGCAAAGAGTAATTGAAATTACTTTCTTCTGTTGGCCAATATAGTCATTTGTCTCTCTTTGTAGCTAATAAGTCAACCATAATCAAAATCGGGGCTTTACCAACTGAAGATATTCAGATTTTATACAAATTTATAAGCCAACTAGAATCAAATGATACTAGTTATATTGAAATCCTAAAATAGTATAATTCCTGTCTTCTGATTAACACCGAGCACTTGTATCACCCCTGTGGAAACTCACCAAGTGGAAAAGGATGGGAGTTTCTCCCTCCATTTATAGGTGATGAAACTGATGCATATAGAAGAATGACATTTGTTGGTTTTAAACTTAAGTTGGAACATTGGTCAGAGCTGAGGCCTCTTAAGATGTTAGGTGTTAGACTTTCTAGTATTGTCCAGGATTTTCCATTAATTCTTCCGTTCTTGATGATAGCCATTAATTGAAGTTTTCATCTCCCCTGGGAATGTGTAGGTCCAAATATTGAAACTTGAACTGGAAAGCTTTTGTCCAAGAAGAAAAGGAAAAACCACATAACAAAATGTTTTAATTCAGTAAATGACATCCCCTAACCCTGTAGTGCTGTTGGGTTACCGGTTTCCGCGTGTTCTGTGTCAGTCGTGAGAGCGCTTGCTGACCTCTTTTTCATACAGACCAGGGTTTACTGGTGTGTTTATTTTGTCACCGTTCCGGTTTAACTCTAAGGAAATGAAAACATCTTCCATTTGTTCTTTATTTCCAAAGGGCATCCGCTTCGATCCTGAAATTCCGCAAACACTACGACTAGAGTTTGCTAAGGCAAACACGAAGATGGCCAAGAACAAACTCGTAGGGACTCCAAACCCCAGTACTCCTCTGCCCAACACTGTACCTCAGTTCATTGCCAGAGAGCCGTGTAAGTTGATCTACTTTTCATTTTGGGAAAATGAAAATAAATAAATAAAGGAGTAAGTAAGAATTGTTTGTATGCTGCATGTGAAATTACACCATGGGACACGGAGCTAGCTGAGTCTCACTTTACGTTTGTGTGAAGAGCCCGCCTATTCTTGCCGATGGAGCTCCAAGTACGGCAATCTTGTTGGTTCTTGAGCAGAAGTGTACCTTCAGAACTTCGTTTGATGTGCTTTCGATTTCCCCAAGGTGATCTTGATCTTATTGTGGGGATGTCTTTGTTTACCCTGGGGTGTAAACCCCTCTTTATTCCTCCCATCCTTGGACAGGAGAGCTGGTTCTCAGCATTCAGTTCACTCCATTTGTTCCAGGACAGCAGTTTTCCAGGAAAAATTAGGATATTACAAGTGAAATAAGCCGATCTTAAGAAGTTGGTTCTAATTTTGAGGACATTTTAGCCATAACTCTATGGGGAAAAGTAAACACACGTGAAGAATTTATATAATAGAATGATCAGTTCTAGAAAACTAATACCAGTAAACCTTTAAGGAAATTTGGGACTTCCTGTTTTAAATGGATTGGGTAAGGACACTGGCTAATTGCTGAACAAGTCTTTTATTTCACCTTAAATGAGCTTATTCCCTTAACGTCCAGACTACAATTTCTGCGTTGATTGAATAACTTGGAAAGGTTGTCTTAATTTTCTCTCTCAAGCTCAGTCAGCGGCAGAAGTGAGGCGTGAGATAGGACTTAAACTTTTCCTTTCATCGCAGAGTTGTATGTGATTGAATACAGCAGGAAGTGCAAGGAAGCCCAAGTGACCTGCTGTTACTGGGAATATTTCTGTCCTGTCTTTCTTGATCTTCTTTCCAAACCACATGATCTTCTTCCTGCTTTCCCTGACAATGTGTTTCAAGTCTCCTTATTGGAATTGAAGGGCACATGGGTTCCTTTCTTTCCCCATGTCCTGCGCATGTCAGATTTAATCAGTTTTTGTGAAACTTAGTCATTCTGTAGCTTAGTCACTCTTGAGAAAGCTGCTGCTTGTCAGTGGAAACTAATAGATAAAAGAATAGATTCTTCCCCTGTGTGCTCTAAACTAAATTTTTCTATGAGGCCAGTAAGTCATAATATAGAAAAAAAAATTTTTTTTGTTCTTCCATGTTCTGGGAAACTTGAAACCTTTGTTTATTTGGGAAGGAAATCTAAACAAAAGTTTCATCTTATGGCATAGTCACAGTGCATCATTCTGTATCCCTATAGTATCTGGCTCAGTGCTTTGTATATTGTATATATTAAATAAATATTTACTACAGAGAGTGGATGGGTGGATAAATTAAGAGTTGAGTTTGGCTATTAGCAGCGTTATCCCATTTTATACAGCTCTTCGTTTCTCTCCTGAAATTTCTTCTCTCTTGATCAAAGTATCAGAAAAAAGTGTTCCCACTTTTTAGAAAAGATTACCTGGAGTAACTCTTGGCTTTTCTAGTGAATTTGCCTTCCTCAGGTCTCAGATGACTTTGAAAAGATTAATTCAGACGGAAAGTGTAATACTAGGAATACTTAATCCTTGCAGTTCTTTGCTGGATGTTTTTCTTTCAGGGAACTCAGAAACTCTTTCTGAATCTGTTACAACAGCCCTGTGAGATAGGTAGCCTGGGAAGTGACAGCCAGTTCACAGCGAGGTACGCCAAAGCTGCAGGAATGCGCAAACTGGCCATCCACAAACCCGACTCTGGCCCACCCTGCCCACCTCCCTTCCCTGTGTACAGAACTGCTCAGAAATGGTCAGATCGTTGCCATGGCAGGGTCAAAACTTGCTAGGCTGCTCATAGCAAAACATACTTGAAGTTAAAAAAAAAAAAAAATCCAGACAGTCAGCAGTGTATTCTTAAGATAGTAAAAGCATGATTTGTCTTAATATAGCTCCTTTGTACAACACAGGGGCCTTGGTGAGCAGCAACTCCACTGTGACTCAGTTGACCTTGTCATCCATTGCTGTTCCCTCTGGGCGTGACCTTCATGTGCAGAACCATTGCTTTCCTGGACGCACAGTGCAGGCTAACAACACTGCGGTTCTGTACTGACAAACCCAAGAGCAGTGTACCCGTCATTGGTTTTCAGGGTGGTCAGGTGTGGACTAGGATGGAGTCATAGGACTTCATGTTTGGAAACCCTGAAGGTTTCTCTGTTCTTTCCTCCCTCCAGTGGAATTGATGGTCATGAGAGAGTTGGCACTTGTTGTAAGTGGCTTTTATTTCTTTTTTTTTTTTTTTAATGTTTTTAAATGGTAGTAGCTGAAAAGCATCCATTGCCATCATTAAGGAAACAATGTTCTACGATTCAGTTATGTAACAAACATTTATTTTGCTTCTTAATAAATACCTTTGAACTTAAATGAGCACCTAGTGTGCTAGACACTGGGGCCAGAGAACTTGGCTCTACATAAAAGAGATGCCTTGCAGCTTAGTCCAGATTGGCCCGAAATCTACTCTGTGCCAAGCCTTGCAAGTGAAGAAACCAGATATCCCAGCTTTCTGCAAAAGATAGCAGCTTGCAGACAAGGGCCTTGAAAGGTGTCAGTGAGTGTTCCGGTTCCGCCAATTATTTCCAAACTTTATGACCTTAAGGAAAACATTTAACCTTGCTGTGCTTTTGTTCCCCCAGCTGTAAAAAGGGAATAGTACCTTCTTCACATGATTGTTATGAAAGTTAAATAAAATCACAAGCTTGTATCAAGGATTAAATGGGTGTGATATGTGCAGAAAAACCAAATCAAACCCATTGCCAGCAAGTCAATTCTGATTCATAGCCACCCTATAGGACAGAGTAGGGTTTCCAAGGAGCTAACCAACTGCCAGCCTTTTGATTAGCAGCCGAAGGCTTAACCACTGACCCACCAGGGCCCCAAATATATGCAGAATGCTAGGTAAATATAACATACAGTCTTAATTTTTAGAAAGTACTGGGTTGCTTTTTGTAATAGTTAAAAGCAAATATTAATCCTGAGATGTTGTCACTGTGTGACTATAGCCAATGGTCTTTGCAAATTTGGAGAAATTTTTATTAATAGGATAATTAATTTGAGCTTCTCTTTCCCTTACCTAAAGACCTTGTAAAGGAGTTAAGCATAAAGTGGCAAAATTGTATGTAAGGAAGATGGAAAAAACTCTGAGAAAGCAGGAAGTAACAGTGTGGACAATTTATAAAGTATGTAAACATCTCCTATACTGTGCATTTGGTTGTACAGGAAGGTAGTATTCTGTAGTGTAAGAATTCCACTTTAGAGATGAAAACAGACTGAGGTTTGAATCCAGGACATGTCCCTACCTCTCAGAGTTTTGTTTTCTTCATCTGTAAAATGATAACGTTTGTGTCAGACACTCTGCCAAGCATATTATGTGAATTTTCTCATTTGATTTTCAATATCCATAATTTACAGTTGAAGAAACCTAGGTCTAGGAAGGTGTAGTATTTCTCTTGGGGTTGCACAGTCGTCCAGTGACAGAGCCTGGATTTAAATTCTGGTTCCTTACTTAATAGTTTTGTGGCCTTGGTCTCGTTACCTCTCTGTGTCTCACTCAGCTTTCTCGTCTACAAAATGGTACCTTCCCATAGGATTGTGAGGATTCAATCCAATGAAGTATGTAAACGTTCAGAAGAGTGCCACATAGTGCCTCTTGATACGTGTGTGATGCCGTGTATGTTTGTGTGCCTTTTGATCTCCGTAGTTGTGAAACCTATAGTTTCTCTGCCTTTGTATACTCTGCACCTGTTGTTGTTGGTTGCCATTGAGTCGACTGCAACTCACGGCGACTCTGTGGTGCAGAGTAGAACTGCTCCAAAGGGTTTTCAAGCCTGTGATCTTTCGGAAGCAGATCTCCAGGCCTGTCTCCCGTGGCGGCTCTGGGTGGGTTTGAACCGCCAACCTTCCAGCTAGTAGTGGAGCACATTACCATTTGTGACACCCAGGGGGTCCTTAGCATCTAAGCCCCTTGCCATCAAGTCGATTCTGACTCTTAGTGACCCTATAGGACAGAGTAGAACTGCCCCATAGAGTTCCAAGGAGTGGCTGGTGGATTCAAACTGCTGACCTTTTGGTTCGCAGCCAAATGGTTAACCACTGTGCCACCAGGGCTCCGCTCAGCATCTAGCACCTAGAAACACGTTTGGATTTTTTTTTTTTAAGATGCCATAAAATTATTCCTACGCTTTTCCATTTGTTATACAATTGCCCTATTCCTAGCAAGCGTGGAGGAACGTGCCCTTCTGAAGACTTTTTTTTGTTAAGAGTGTTATTGAGGTATGATTGGCATACAGTAAAATGCATATATTTTAAGTGTGTAACTTGATTGGTTTTGTCATGATGCATATACAGAATTTAATCAAATAAATGCTATTGAGTTGTTGACACCGTTGGCAGCATACCTTGTTAGAATAGTGCCCTTAATGGTGGAGGCAGACAAAGCTTAGGAGAACTTCTACTCCGATTAGGCAGATCCTCCCCTTTCAATTCTGTTTTTATGGATCAAATATCAAAAGGCTCCTGAACTTTGCATCAATGCAGATTCCCACATTCCAAATCCAGGGATTCTGATCTGTGGATCTAGGCTAGGACTTAGGCACCGTAATGTTCAAAGCTCTTCAGGTGATTTTAATGCCCAGTCACGGTTGAGAATCACTAATTTAGAGCAAGGAATTTGAAAGTTCGATTCGTCTTCCTATCACACATTATTCTCCCTGCCTACCCCGCCCCATCCACGCAGGAACAAAAGCGTGCTTTATTAAATCGACACTCTTCAACACCTGGTGAGCACATAGCCGTTCGTTGAATAAGCAAACCACTTCCTTGTTTGCCTGCCACGCCACTGGAATTTCCCATTTATCCAATACTGACCAGCACCATCTGGAAGTGAATTCTCTCTCTTATGTCTAACGAGAGCCTGTAAAAGTTCGGGAATGCTTGCAAAGCACCTAGCAAGTACCCACCCAGGGACAATACTC